AAATTTATGGACACCTTGCAGACAGACAGATATATCCTCGTTAAATGGAGATAGATAGATAGATAGATAGATAGATAGATAGCTACTGTTCTAAGGAAAATTGACAGATAGATTGATACTGTCTAGATGGAGACAAACAGATAGATAGATAGATAGATAGATAGATAGATACTGTTCAAACGAAAATTGACAGATAGATATATACTGTCCAGACTGAGTTGTTAGAGATAGATAGATAGATACATATATACATACTGTTCAAATGGAGATAGATAGATAGATAGATAGATAGATAGATAGATAGATAGATAGATATGAACATACAGAACAAGATCTATACTATTCAGACGGGGATAGATAGATAGATAGATAGATAGATAGATGATATGAACAGACTGAGAAAGATAGATAGATATGAAGATAAACCCTTGATAGGAAAAGAGGAAAAAAATTGTCAAATTCGCTGGAGTAACTTAAAAAGATTAAAACTTAAACTAAAAAAATATCATTTGATTATCCATTTATTCGAGACAAAGCTAATCTTGGTAAATATCTGCTTTTTTTTGGTTGAATGAGCCGCAAAGAATAGCGAGTGATCCCTATTTTTCAAATCTGCTTTTATCTTGAATCATCCCTACGAGAACTCTTCGGGATTAATCGAAATATTAAAATAAATTCATGCTAAACTACCTATCGTAAGAGCGCCTTAGTCCGCTTCAAATACTTCCATTGGAGACACACACACGTATCCTACAATCTTAACTGCAAAGCCCTCTTTTGAAGCAGAAATCTCTTGCCTAGATCTCGATCCACCGTAATGTTGGATCAAAGATTCTTGCCAGATTTCCTTGATCCATCGTAATGCTGGATCAATGATCCTTTGTCTAGATCTCCGCGATGACCGTAATGCTGGATCAAGGATCCTTGCCTAGATCATCCATCGTAATGCTGGATCAAGGATCCTTGCCTAGATCTCCTCGATCCATCGTAATGGTGGATCAAGGATCCTACCTAGATCTCCTTGATCCATCTTTATAGTGGATCAAGGGTCCTTTGCCTAGATCTCCTTGATCCAATGCTGAATCAGGATCCTTGCCCAATCCTTGATCCATCGTAATATTGGATCAAGGATCCTTGCCTAGATCTCCTCGATCCATCGTAATGGTGGATCAAGGATCCTTGCCTAGATCTCCTTGATCCATCTTAATAGTGGATCAAGGGTCCTTTGCCTAGATCTCCTTGATGCACCGTAATGCTGGATCAAGGATCCTGCTCAGATCTCCTTGATCCATCGTAATATTGGATCAAGGATCCTGCCTAGATCTCCTCGATCCATCGTAATAGTATATCAAGGATCCTTGCCTAGATCTCCTTGATCCATCTTAATAGTGGATCAAGGGTCCTTTGCCTAGATGTCCTTGATGCCGTAATGCCGGATCAATCCTTGCCTAGATCTCCTTGATCCATCGTAATATTGGATTAAGGATCTCCTAGATCTCCTGATCCATCGTAATGGTGATCAAGGATCCTTGCCTAGATCTCCTTGATCCATCTTAATAGTGGATCAAGGATCCTTTGCCTAGATCTCCTTGATGCACCGTAATGCTGGATCAAGGATCGCACCTAGATCTCCTTGCCATCGTAGGATCAAGGATCCCTGCTTCTCCTCGATCCATCGTAATGGTGGATCAAGGATCCTTGCCTAGATCTCCTTGATCCATCTTAATAGTGGATCAAGGATCCTTTGCCTAGATCTCCTTGATGCACCGTAATGCTGGATCAAGGATCCTTGCCTAGATCTCCTTGATCCATCGTAATATTGGATCAAGGATCCTTGCCTAGATCTCCTCGATCCATCGTAATGGTGGATCAAGGATCCTTGCCTAGATCTCCTTGATCCATCTTAATAGTGGATCAAGGATCCTTTGCCTAGATCTCCTTGATGCACCGCAATGCTGGATCAAGATCCTTTGATCTCCTTGATCCATCGCTATTGGATTAAGGATCCTTGCCTAGATCTCCTCGATCCATCGTGATCCACTCCTTGATCCAATGGATCGGCATGTTAAATGCTGGATCGATCTCCTTGATCCACCGTTGTTTAATGCGATGATTTGTTAATAAAAAAAAATGCACAAGAATTCGGCGGTTACATAATATGGTACTCGAGTTGGCAGCAGACTTTAAGTGGAACTTGTATATACGCCCTATCGCCAAAGACGTAGGAAAATGGTAGGTTTCTTCTACCTAACACCTTCTGCCATGCTATAACTTTACGAAACTCAACACTAACCAAAAATGCAGTGTTACTGAAATATCAGGACTGAAGATACATGATCCTCTCTTTCCGGACTTGAAAGCGTTTTCGTGGCCCTGTGGGTGATGAATTATTTTCCATTCCACAACCCCTTTCCCACAAACGAAATGTCGCAAGCCTCCTGATACTATATCGCTATTTCCATAGAAAATGTTTAGACGTGCGACAATTCTTAGTTTCATCAGTTCAGACCTTCACAGCTAGGACCCTCTATGGCACGTACAATGAAGCGACATTCCTTTCGGATAGATAGATAGATAGATAGGTATGAAGAAAGGATGAAATAGGTAGATAGATGTGAACAGAGATTGAGATAGATAGATAGATAGATAGATAGATAGATAGATAGATAGATAGATAGATATGAAGACTAAAATAGATAGATATGAAGAAAAGATAAGATAGATGTGAACAGACTAAGATAGATAGATATGAAGAAAAGATGTGATAGATAGATAGATAGATAGATAGATATGAATAGACATCAAGATAGATAGATAGATAGATATGAATAGACATCAAGATAGATAGATAGATAGATAGATATGAAGAAAGGATGAAATAGATAGATATGAACAGAGATTGAGATAGATAGATAGATGGATATGAAGACTAAAATAAATAGATATGAAGAAAGGATAAGATAGATAGATGTGAACAGACTAAGATAGATAGATAGATAGATAGATAGATAGATAGATAGATATGAAGAAAGGATGTGATAGATAAAGAAAAAACAGGAAACTTTTATCATTCTAATGTTTCATTTTTCATCAGAGGTTGAGATAGTGAGAAAAAGATTTTCATGTATTTTGTATATCAGTGCTACTCAAAATGGCGGATCGCGGACCGATGCCGGTCCGCGAACCATCAGCTACCGGTACGCGGCCAGTGTCCAGGCCATGTTAAGGAATCATTTGTAAAGATTAAGGTTATATTAGGTTGGTGCAAAATAATGACGTAATGTCGTTTTTGACGTATTTTAACGTCAAAAACGACATTATTACGTCATTATTTTTGCACCAACCTAATATAATTTTTGTTTTTGTCTTAATAAACTGCTTATATTTTTATTACTTTTTATATGTTTTGATATTGAATTATTTTTTGCAAAATAAATGGAAGATAAAAAAAATAATCAACTTTTATTATATTCATTATATATATAGTTTCCGGTATAAGTTAATATTACCCTGAAATATTACAGATACGTGACACATGCCAGTCCCCCATATCAGATAGTTTGAGAAGCACTGCTTTATAGCTCGTACATTGAGTCGACATTCCTATCGTATTCCATTTGTAAGGAGGAACTTCCATTGTTTTTTTTCCCCAGAAATTTGTGAAAGAGATTCCTGATCACTACAATTGTAACCTCTTTAAGTCTAGTGATCAATCCTCGCTTTACTTTGAGTGACTCTTAGGTCTTGTATTCGGTGAGCATTGGGAGGCTGTTCGTCAAATGAGACCAGGACATTTAGGCAATGTTGTTATCCATAGGCCAACTTGAATAAACGGGGATACTAGTGAAATATTAGGGATGTCTTACTGCTGCTGTATAATCCTGATTAGGTTCTATTGTAACTTAGAAAGGGTTACTAATTGAGGAATAACCAAAGCGGAGGTTGGAAATGAAATGGCAATCTTTATAACATCAAGAAATTACAATACTCGCCAGCGGCGTGAAGTAGGTAAACAACTGCTAATAGTGGACTACGTAGACAGCATTTTACCCCCACTTACAATAGTGTCCAAAGTATTTATGAGGATTGGGACATACGCATTCATATTCATAGGTACAGTATATAACACTATCTATCTATCTATCTATCTATCTATCTATCTATCTATCTATTGTAACCTAGAAAGGGTTACTGAATGAGGAATAACCAAAACGGAGGTAAGAAATGAAATGGTAGCCTTTATAATACCAAGAAAATACAATACTCTCCAGCGGCGTGAAGTAGGGAAACCACTGCTAATGGTGCACTACTTAGCATATTACGATATTTACTTGCCTCCCCTCACGAACCGAACCTTGCCGAAGGTCAAAGTCTCGTCTGGTTCCTCTGCCCGCCCGAAGAGAGTTCGACACGGTAAGAGCTTCCCACACTGACAGCTCACGCTGCCAGCATAGAGAGTATAATACGATATCTACCTGCCTCCCCACGAGGTAGGATGTGGCACAAGGCCAAATTTAATGTGGGGAAATCCGAGCTCGTGGGCTCGGGCAAAAATTGCTCGTAGATCCCGTATACGAGGGATCGGGTATCTGTCTACTTCCCCGGACGAGACTCTGCACTTTCCATCAGACATAAAATACCGGGTGTAACAGCAAAATTGTCTATCCCAAAAATGTTCAATATCTAAAAATAAAACACTAAACTAATTGAGTTGCTTTTTATCAAGTTTTCAGATAAGACGTTTAGCCATGTTGACGCCATTTATCGTAAGAATCACTAAAAAAACCCTTTGCGTTATTCAGATATAAAGAGAACAGGTGAAAATCGTTTTGTGTCAGCCCCACTTCTTAAATGAACAATGGTAAGAGGAAAAAAGATCATTCAGGCCTTCAGTAATGGTGCTAACATTCATACTCTGGCTTCCATCTTCAAAATCCGTTCAAGAAGCATCAAGAGAATTAGTTTAAAAAAGAAGGAACATTAGGGAGGAGACCTGGATCAAGCGGTTACAACAGGAAGAGGGATCATCGTTTCAATTTAGAGCTAGAAAGATCAATTAGAATAAATCCGACTCAATTCATAAGACGTTTGGCACGTGATAAAGAAGTTTCAGTTATGACAGTCCAAGGAGCAGTGAAATAAGATTTGAAAATGAAATCGTACGTGAAACGTATGAAGCACCTTGCTACTCGAGGACAGAAAGTTAGAAGGTTAGAGAGGATGAAAATCATCTTGAATAAGTAGAAAAATGATCCTGAAATAATTTGAACAAAATTCCAATTCTTCATGAGCTTCTGATCCTTAGCTATGATTAATTAATGATGAACATGTCATTTTCGTTTAAGATCAATTTCATCACGATACTCCTGCTAAGGTCTGAGAGTAATTATACAGTCTTATTGCTCAAAGTAGAGTCCAATAGTGTTATAAAAACTTCGGAGAATTCCAGTAAGATATCTTTAATCATTTCTAATATACAACGGCTCAAAGCTTAATCTAACAATTTGATAAGTTTGCAGTTACGTGATTTGGACAATTTTTTTTTATTACAACCGGTATATACTAAGTCCTTTTAGCACGTGGGCGAGCATAGCACTCCATGACTTCCTGTCTTTTGTTGCTCAAAGTAAAGTTTGACCCTTTACAACCTTTATTGTGCCATCCATTCACTTATGCACCTATCTATCTATCTATCTATCTATCTATCTATCCTCAAGGACACATGGCTCAGTGGATAAAGGCGTTAGTTAGATCCAGTGACAGAACCCAAATAGTGTGAGTTCAATACCCGCTTAAGGCAGTGGAGAACTTTTAGAGGGAAATTAACAGGAGATAACTGATAAATGACATCCATTAATCATGGCACGTGGAACAGTCTACCGCAGTGAGCGAAATAAAGGGTTCAGTTGGACATTCCAAAGAAAATTCCTGAAGAAGGCCGTAGTGTACAACGGCCGAAACGTTGTAATAAATATGACGACAAAGATGACGAAAATAGTCCGAATAATGTAAATAGTGTGCATAATACCTCATCTCAGAAATATAGACAGATACTGAAGGGCCGAAACGTTGTAATAAATATGGCGGCAAAAATGAGGACAATAGTCCGAATAATGTAAATAATGTACATAATACCTCATCTCAGAAATATAGACAGATACTGAAGGGCCGAAACGTTGTAATAAATATGGCGGCAAAGATGAGGACAATAGTCCGAATAATGTAAATAGTGTACATAATACCTCATATCAGAAATATAGACAGATACTGAAGGGCCGAAACGTTGTATTAAATATGGCGGCAAAGATGAGGACAATAGTCCGAATAATGTAAATAGTGTACATAATACCTCATATCAGAAATATAGACAGATACTAGTTTGACTCTCCCTGTATTTAATGCTAGAAGCACACCAGAGGCGTCAAGCATATCAAAATAAACAGTCATGATTCCAAACCCAGTTCTCGATATAGCATTCTAGTAAGCCACTTTGCATAGTCGCCAGGAGAAATCCACTAAGATACAGGTACTAGCAGGAAGGCTTTATCTGACTTGCAGCTTTGAATCTTCTGTGAGCTGTAATGAGAGCAACAGACGGTTCTGAATTTTTCTCATTCACAGCAGCAGATAGCCTGCAATTGAGGAGCCTGTCACTAAGGTCATTTTCTCCTTTCTTTCTAGAGTTTCCAGTACCTCTGTTAACTCATCACCTTACTGTGATTACATCAAGCGCAAGCTTACTATAAGCATTCAATAACCTCTTGTGAATGTTTGAAAAGAAGAAATTCTATGACAGCTTTTTACCTTTTCAGAAGAACAGAAATTTTGAAAGAGAATCGCTTAATATTTTGCGTCCATTTTGAAAGAGGATAATGAATAGGAAACGTGGATGTAAATTCATAACTTTTCCTCGGGGTTTCTAGTCCCTTTATGGTTTATAGTTTAAAATAAAAAGTGACAACAAAAGCATGAAATTCTAGTAATTCTAATACATTCAAAATTACATTGCGAATAGGGATTATTTTTTGCCCTAAACATCTATGTCTCTAGCTATCCTAGTCTGTTCATCTTTCCCTATCTATCTATCTATCTATCTATCTATCTATCTATCTATCTATCTATCTATCCTAGTTTGTTCATATCTCTCTCTTTCTTTCTCTCTCTGTTCATATCTATCTTTCTATCTCTCTCTTTCTCTCTATCCTAGTCTGTTCTTATCTATCTTAGTCTGTTCATTTCTTTCTCTCACTCTCTCTATCTATCTATATTAATCTATCTATCTATCTATCTATCTATCTATCTATCTATCTATCCTAGTCTGTTCATCTCTCTCTCTCTATCTGTCCTAATCCGTTCATATCTATCTTTCTCTCTATCTCTCTATCCTAGTCTGTTCATTACTTTCTCTCTCTCTCTCTCTTTCTCTATCTATCTATCCATTCATCTATCCTAGTCTGTTCATCTATCTATCTATCTATCTATCTATCTATCTATCTATCTATCTATCTATCCTAGTCTCTTCATATCTCTCTCTCTCTCTCTCTCTATCCTAGTCGGTTCCTATCTATCTATCTATCTATCTATCTATCTATCTATCTATTGTTCTTAATTATTTTCAATTTCCATATTCTCCATCTAAACTTCTTCCATTGTTCCTCTATTATTTCCCGTGATTTTAACATCCATTCTGCCGTCAGCCATTTTTCCCGACTTTCCTCTTTGCACAGCACAATTCCGGAAATTGAAACTTCTTAATCAACAAAAAGAGCAGAAGACTAAACCTACTTTCAACCAATCGCTTCTTCCTTCTAAAGATCCGGCCCAAGATTCTAATAGGATAATGCAGGCTGATCTTTTTCATTCAATTTTTGTTTTAAATGACTTCCATGCAAAAATTGAATATTGCATGGGGTTTGAAAGAGGTTTTCTAACCGAATACGGTAAATGCGGCTCCGTGATGATAGCTATATTCATCCAGTAACTTCTCAAGTGTCGCTATTAAAGTTAGGTCGATTATTTCGATCAAATTCAATCGTCCGACATTTCCTTCCGCAACGTTTGCGTTCATAGCTGGAGGTTTATATTCTCCATGTTTTTTTTTATGTGGTTGTGTATTTATGCTTTTATGTTTCAGTTTTTTAAAATAAAATAAAACCATTATTATATTTATTAAATATTCCCTAATTTGCTGTCTAATTCTCGAAAATTTGTCTATATTAGTTTCAGTTTTTTCTCTTCATTATTAATCATGTCAGGTATTCTGTTTTTTTGTGTTTATTTATGTAATATTTCGATTTATTTTCACTTTCTTCGTCTTGTTCAATTTTATAAATTTTTTTTCTTTATCTTGTTTCTTTCTTTTCGTTTTTCTTTTTCAGTTTATTTTAATAGAGTTCGCTCTTCCTATCGACGGAGTTTTTTTTTCTTTTTTAATCATTTTAAAATACTTTAGGTCATTTCAAGAATTTTTAACATTATATTTGCTTGTCTATCACCGTAACGTTTTCTTCATTTCTTTATATTCTTTTTTCTTTCATATTTTCTTTCTTTCAAACTTTTCTACTATTTTCGTTCTATTTTCTATGACTTCTTTCTGTCTTGAATACAATGGTATCAAACTTTTAATAAAAAAATAGGAATAATGAAGAGTGGATATGGCCAGAGGGTTGGGATAAAAAGCATCAATAATAATACACGCGTTTCTGGTCTCGCGACCTTCATCAGGCGAGGAATGGCTTTTTCAACATATTATTAAAAGGAATCAATTTTCCTTATGTTATCAGATGTTTAAGCATTGTCTTCTGCATGTTTCACTAACTGAAACCTTTTGGGACTTGTGGCGAAAGTATCCTTCTGCTTAAGGGGCAATAAAACAATTAGGATTTGTAAGAGAAAAGGCAATGGAAGGTCTTCGTTGTTATCTTTTTCATGTTCTAAGAGGCACTTTATGCGTATAGGAGGGGAAGCTAACAGCTTAAATTGTAGCGATCAGGGAAACACCCTCTTGGGAGTCTGTTCCACAGACCAGTGGTTTGCTTCTAATCTGTTCTAAAAGAAAAATTGTTCCTTCTCACTGATGGAATACGGAGAATAAAAATTTGTAATTGGCATGTAAGTTATGTAAGTTAAATGGCGGTTTTAGCCGTGAATTATATATATATATATATATATATATATATATATATATATATTTAATTTTTATTTAAAAAATATGATTCAACACTGCATAAGAGTTCTTTATTTTTCAAAACAAGAGCCGAAAAAATTCAATATAATTATTTGAATTAATTATGCTGGTACTTTTGTATCGAGCACAATTTTTTAAAAATAATTAAAAAATACTAAAAACTTTGGATTATTTACCTAAAGAGTTATTTCCTATTTTCTATATATTTTACACACACACACACACACACACACACACACACACACACACACACGCACGCACACACACACACACGCACGCACGCACGCACACACGCACGCACGCACGCACGCACGCACGTACGCACACACACACACACGCACGCACGCACGCACACACACACACACACACACGCACACACACACACGCACGCACAAAACACACACACGCACGCACGCACGCACGCACGCACGCACGCACACACACACACACACGCACGCACGCACGCACACACACACACACGCACGCACGCACGCACACACACACACACACACACACACACACACACACATCTTTTGTTTCAAGTTCTCTTGGGAAAGAAGAAAAAATGGTCCGAAAAAACAAACTTAAATAACGGACTTTCTATGTTTTACGATCAAATCTGCATATATATATATATATATATATATATATATACCCAAGTATAGGATTGGTGTATACGGAATAAATTCCAATGACCAACAATTACTATTCTTAAAAGAGTGCTCAATACAGAGTAGAGCAAATACAATTATTTATTTGAAAATTATAACATAAATATGTTATAAAATCACTACAAAAATAGCCATTTTGTTTCAACACCTCTGGTGTCTTATCAAGTGATGATGTTGAATGTAAAATAAAGGGTTTTAAAAGGTTCAAATTAATTAATCAATCCTCGCAAATTACATAAGCTGGAATGACCAATCAAAATACAAGTATACGAGAATTAAAAAAACTTGACAACTATTTAATGCTTTAAAGTTGGGGTTATACTAAAATAGAATTTATTCTAACTAATAAGTATTAAATTATACGATAAATTTTAAGGATTTAGGCCTTAGGACTATAGTTACAACTAACATTAAACAAGTAGATTTTCTGGACCTACTCTAGACCTTACTAGCAACACTTTCCAACCATATGTGAAGGTTAATTCAAACCCAATATACGTGCATCCAAATTCTACCCCGCTTCGGTTATCAAAGACATACCCCCCCTCTATTTGAGTTAGGATTAGTACTAACTCTTCTAACAAAGATGTTTTTAATAAACATCGTGATTTTTACAATTCTGTCCTTAAAAATAATCGATACAAAGATACCACTATTCAATATAGAAACCCGGTTAATTACAACCATAATAAGAAAAGAAGATCTAGAAAGATCCTTTGGTTTACTCCCCCTTTCAATATAATGGCTAAAACTAAATTAGGTCATATATTTCTAAACCTCATCAAGAAACATTTCCCCAACCCATAAACTAACCCACTTAAGTACCAGACTTCATTATCCAAATATTTTTGGAGTCTAAAAGAAAAGAATAAAACAACTACTGTTAAATAGAAATTAATCAGGATGTCTTAACGAAAAATTTGAAATAATTATATTTAAAAATAAGATCCATCTCTTAAATCAAAGATATGAACTAACTCTTAACTGTAAACACCGTTATAAATTTAACTTATTATAGGGGATGTAATACTTTCAATGGTAATGATATGTCATTATAAATTTAATAGGTTATTACTTTTATTACCTGATGGTCCTCCTGTTGATGTGGGTGTGTGTTGGTGTACGTATACTGTAGATGTGTGTGTATGTATGTGTGTGTGGGGGTGTTTGTATTACTGGATGTATATATGTATGTGTATATGTATATATATGTAAGTGGTTTTTTTTATAAAAAGAAAGAAGGTGAAAAGGAAAAAAGGAGGAGAAAAGGAGAGGAGGGTAAAATATGCATATATATATATATATATATATTTTCCAGATGTGTTGTGTATGTATATTTCTATTTACGTGTACTTCTGTATGTATGTATATGTTTATGTATGTATGTAGGGATACATGTATATGTGTAGGTGTATGTATATGTTTATATGCATGCATATGTATGTATGCATATGTATGTGTATGGCTGAATGTGCATGTGTTTATGTGTATGTGCATATATATTTGTACTGTAATTATAGGTATGTATGTATATGTATGTATATATATATATGTATTTGTATGTGTGTGTGTTGACACCTATCATATGTGAGTTTGTTTGTGCGTATGTATAGGTATGTAAACTTTGGTTTGTGTCTACAGGTGCGGGTGTATGTGTGCATATATGTATATGTATATATATATGTGTATTTGTATATATATATATATATATATATATACATGGATGTGTGCGTATTTATATGTGTGTATATGTGGATATGTTGTTATGGGTATTTATACATGATTATATATATGTATATGTGGATATATGTTCGTATGTCTTCGTATATGTATATGTATGTATATCTAAGTGTCTTGGAATGTATCATCAATGCTAACTAAAATCTATGTATGTATGTATATATATATGGATACATGTATTTGTGTGTATGTATGTATGTGTATATATGTTTATGTATATGTATGTACGTATATAGTTGAGTATGTATGTATTTATGTTTATGGACGTATATATATATATTTGTAATTATAGGTATGTATGTATATATATATATATATATATATATATATATGTATATATATGTGTGTGTGTGTTTGTGTGTTGTGTGTGTGTATACACCCATCATATGTGAGCTTGTTTATGTGTACGTGTAGGTATGTAAACTCTGTTTTGTATCTACAGGTGCGTGTGTATATATATGTGTGTATACATGTATATGTATATATTGTTGTATTTTTATGTGTGTGTATATGAATATATGTATATGTGTTTGTGTTTGTGTGTTTGTGTGTATATATACATATATATATATATGTGGATGTGTTGAAATGGGCATTTATGTATGATTTTATATTTGTATATGTGAATGTATGTTGGTATTTATTCGTATGTATATCTTAGTGTCTGGGAATGTATCATCTATACTTTGAATACTATACTATACTATGTGTCTTGTTACATTTTAAAATTATTATGGATTTTACTGCACTTTATCGTCAATATGATAATATTGTTAGAATATGTGGAGGTTTATATATGTGTATACCTATTTATGTATATATATATATATATTTATGGATGTGTATGCGTGTATATATGTGTATGTTTAAGTCTCCATTTTTTATATACATTCATGTATTTGTATAGGTGTTTGTATATATGTATGTTTAAGTTTATATATGTATATGTATACATGCATGTATATATATATATATGTGTGTGTGTGTGTATGTGTGTGTGTATGTATATGTATGTATGTCTATGTATGTATCTATATTTGGTTTGTTTACTTTTTTACGTTGCTGTGTGGTTGATATATTTATGCGTGCTTCTCTATGTGTATATATGCATATGGTATGCGTATGTGTATGTGTGTATATATGTAGATATATATGAGTATGTCTGTATGCATGTATATGTATATATGTGTGTATAGTTTTGTCTGTAGGTAGGTTTTTCTATGTTTCTGTCTGTAGTCAAGAAAGTGTGTACTTTGTACACATATATCTGTAGGTAGTTTTCATTTTCTTTCACTTAATGTACAGTAGGGCGTATATAGATATATATGAAATATATATTTTTATATATATTTGTGTTTGGAATTTTCGTTTTTATATATTAGATGGTGTTATTTTTATACGTATATATCTATTTTAATGCCCTTTCTTTCCCTATTGTTTGTTTCTCTGTTCTATTAGACCATTTTTATCTACGTATGTTTGCCCGTATAAGTTATATTTTAATAAGTAGGTAGAATTCGTTTAATAACACTTTCAATCTTGAATATTTCTTGCTTGTTGTATGGGAGTGTCTATGTAAATGTATATCGGTGTCTATGTGTATGGTAACTTGGATGCACCTTTCATTGTGTATGTATGTGGGTTTTTTGTAAAGGGTCGTGGAGATATTTCCTGTCTCGTCACTTTTTGTGTGCGTATATATCTAAATATGTCTGCGTGCTTATGTATTATAATCTGTTTGTGTATGTATTGTCTTTTGCAAGATGTCCTACCTCCCCTGCCTTATGCTTAGAATTCAAATGTATCCATTTTGTCATGAAGTTAAGAGCATTCGATCTTAACGTTTATTCCAACTTAATTTCAATAAAAACAAAATAAATAGAATAACATATATATTTTTTCTTTTTCCCTCAGTAATTTTATAATTTTAAACTTAATAGAGATTAAATTTAGATTTTAAAATGGGTAATTTTTAATTTTTTAATCTTAAATTTTATCGTATAATTTAATACTTATTAATTAGAATAAATTCTGTTTTAGTATAAACCCAAATTTAAAGCATTTAATAGTTTTTATAACCTTACTTCTTTGTCAAGTTTTTGGAATTCTCGTATACTTGTATTTTGATTGGTCATTCCAGCTTATGTTTTCCCCTAGCGAGGGGTGGTTAATTAATTTGAACCTTTTAAAACCTTTATTCTATATTCAACACCATCACTTGATAAGACACCAAAAGTGTTGAAACAAAACGGCTATTTTTGTAGTGATTTTATAACATATTTATGTTATAATTTTCAAATAAATAATTACATATATATATATATATTGGCTTGGATTGAGGAATCGGAGAGCCGAGTTCGAATTCCAGTCGAATCCATTACATTCATTTACATACTAATACCCTTGAGAAAGGTGTGAATCCTCTTCTTCTCCTTCCAGCTATGGGTAAATAGCAGGACAGACTGGGTTCTATAGCCTTGATAGCAACTGGTCTAGGAGAAGGACAACTCTGAATTCAAAACCTGCGGGAGGGTCGTTTGGGAACCTTGTGGCACTCAGTGCACCAGGTCTCTATGTATTCGTCCCTTCAAAAGTGTGGATGGTCCTGCACGAGGCCTTCACCACTATAAATCAAATCTCATGTGCCGGTGTCGGGCTGTCGGTTTCCTAGAACTGATCTGCTTGACCTCATACGTCGAATTTGACGGAGAGTCGAGTATATATATATATATATATATATATATATATATATATATATATATATATGACATGCTAATACATACCATAGTTTTATATATATATATATATATATATATATATATATATATATATATAATTAAAGATGAAATGTAGATAAAATATGGATCGGAATTCGACAGGATCATAAGATAAAGGACAAATAGGAAACGTTTTACTTTTATTAAAATTACGTCAGAGCTTGTGCTGTTCGATTCCCATTGGACATTAATATATCGCGTGCATTAAAACTATAGACAATTCTATATGCATGTAAGTTTGTAAAGATTCTTGTATGTCTAATGGCGATGTGTATTCGTAATTGTGTCTGTGTGTCTATCTAGTTGGAGACGTTCTAATCTTTTAGATACACAACTGACCAATGAGAATCGAACCACAAATAATTGGAAGTACCAGAATTCTATCCGTTTTCTGTTTCTTTCAATCCTTGACGAAGCTTTAATAAAAGTGAACCGTGTTAGATTGATAAACGTTTCCCGTTTGTTCTTTATCTTTTTCCCAGAGTTGCTATTTACCAAGACGATTCGTTCCTATGTCATATGACACATACCTCGGCGTCTGGTTGGTCCTTAAGGGCAGCAAGGACATCCTCTCGGGACAAGACGAACAGTTCGGAATAACCAAGAGAGCGGACGTCAGCTGTCCGTCTGAAAAAAGAGAAGGAAAGGAAAGAGAATATTTTAAATATAAAAGTCAAACAGCTCTTTTGAAAAAAAAAGATAGAAGAATTAGGATGTTTTTTTTTTCTGAGATAGCAACCTCTCTGAAATGTTTTGAATTGAACCCACTAAGGTTTATCATTTGCAACGATGTTCACAATTTACAAGTCCCAAGAGCCACTCAAGGTAGAGGATGACAGAGTAAGAGGAACAATTTAGGGTGATATGTGTAGGAGATAACGGTTGACCCTAGACGAAGAGGTTAAGATTATTATAATCAGGGAAGCATCCTCTTGGGAGTCGGTTCTACAACAGTAATCTAGATAACAAGAACAAATAACAAAATTCGTAAAAGTTAAGAGATAGTTTCATTTTGTTATGTAAATTCATTGGTAAATTGAACTCCCACGGCCCCCACCAAAAAAAAAAAAATCATGAATTTTAAAATGTGAAAACATAAAATTTTAAAGTAATAATCTGGAGTTCTTTTTTTTCATATATTACTCTCAAGGAGTCGGAATCAAGTATTTTTCTTTTTGTCTGTATTCATAATATATATATATATATATATATATATATATATATATATTATGACGATATTATACTTTCCCTGACGATCCGTTTAGGTGAAACCTAGGTAAGTTTGTCTGGCTCACTAGGTGTATCTAGGTCTGCTCTACGGTTGTATTGAGCTCTTTTTGTTAGTTAGTTGTTACTCGTATCGGAGTTTTTCTTTGGGCTTCAGACCTGCATCTGTGCAATTTTTTTGTCGGCAGAGGTTCATGTTTGTAGCTCTTTTTTTTTTTAAAACCTTTTTTTTCCTCGAGATTGATTTGATTAGCAAATCAAAATTCGAGGGTTTTTCGAAACGAGTCTAGTTATCTATATTATATATATATATATATATATATATATGTGTGTGTGTGTATATATATATATATATATATATATATATATATATATATATATATATATATATATATTTCTCCAGAAGTCACAAACGTAAAAAAAGTAAAATCATGATCCTCATGTTCATAAAAGAGCGGGAATATATATATATATATATATATATATATATATATATATATATATATATATATCTGGCATCTCGTCTGCAGTCGCTCTCTTACAAACATGCCGTCACCTCCTGTCTTTTTTTACAAATACTTTTCATGGTAACTGCCCGATGAGCTGCTTTCGCTGGTTCCCAGACTTCATGAATTTAAGCGTTCAACTAGGCTGGCATCTGGATCTCACTCTTTCACTGTCGAAACTGTTAAATGTAGCCGCCTCTTCTACTCCAATAGCTTCATGTATCGCACTTCTCGCCTGTGGAACTCACTTCCCTTTTCCTGTTTCCCTGATAGCTATAATCTCCAACTATTCAAATGTAATGTCAATCGACGTCTCCAGATGCCCTGATCTATCCCCTATCCTTCTCTTCATCCTTTCCTCTATCACTCGTATTTGCTCTCACTCCAACTCTATGTAACCCCTTTGCGTGTTAGTGGCTTCCCGCCTTGCTTGGGGGTGAAACGCTTAAAAAATATTAATTTACCAAAGTAGTTTTGAATTTGTAATTCGTTTTTTTTTCTTTTTTATCAGTTTCTTAAAGAAGCCTTTTAATTATCTACTACAAAATTCTATGAAGGAAGATGTCTGAGCATATAGATAATTAATATTTTCCTACCCACTTTACTCTTCATGTGAAAGTTGAACGTTATATATCTCAATATTTTACGAAAGAATGCAATCATTACTATCAGTCTCAAACGAAATTGTCTAGGCTTTTTATATAGACAACTTCATGTATAAACTATATAATTTTTTTCAGTTGTTTTGGATTAGCGTTGGCATTATATTTGATTGATGAATCAGGGCAAACCCACAAGCCTCATTTCAATTCTGTTATTTTTTTTATCTTTTTTTTCTCTCCCGCCCCCACAAAAAAACAACAAAAACGAGGTAGTATTCTGCTTTTGAAATTAATCGTTCACACACCAGTAATTTACCATCGCCTGAAGAGACTTATTTGTAGTGTTGAAACACGATTGCTATTGTGTAGCGATTTTTAATATGTTTTTGTTTTAATCTCCGATAATAAATAATATTTAGCTCTACTCTGTATTGAGCCCTCTTTTAAAATAAATGTCACGGACAGTGGAATTACACTCAATCTGTTCTTATCTTTACCTATATATATATATATATATATATATATATATATATATATATATATATATAGATTCACACAAACATATATAATGGATATATACATATATGAAGGATGCAGACAAATATATAATATATAATTGCATGTCTCTCTCTCTCTATATATGTATATATATAGATAGTAAAAGTGGCAGTTGGGATTCACGCACACGCTCACACACACATATATATTACTCACTTACACGCATTCACTCTCTCACACACACATATATAGTAAAGGTATATAATATATATATATATTTATATATATATATATATATATATATATGCATATAAGTTGGGATTCACGCACACACAGAGAGACAAACAGACACACACACAAGTATATATATATGTATATATATATGTATATATATATATATATATATATATAAGTTGGGATTCACGCACATACATATATATAAAGTTAACATATCCGTATATATATATATATATATATATATATATATATATATATATATATATATATATATATATATATATATAGGTATATATATATATATGTGTGTGTGTGTGTATACATAAGTTGGAATTCACACAAGCAAACACACAGATATATATATTTTAACAGTAAATATAAATATTCCCAGTTTGTGACTGGTAGGGATAATTCCAAGGCGGATATTAATCCAGGGAGAGCTCAATGTAGACTACAGAGAATAATAATAATAATAATAATGGTGCAGAAATACAAGTAAAGCCCAATACACCGACTGAATCTGCAAAATATTTAAAAAAAGTGAGCAAAGACAAACGCAACCGACCAGATACAGAAACAATGGCAAGATAAACCGCTTCATGGTCAATACTCTGCCCGTACCAAGCAAGATGATGTAGACAAACCCATCAGTGGCTACGTAGTGCAGGGTTAAAAGCTGAAGGTTTTATCCTTGCTGCACAGGATCAATGCTTGCTAACTAGGAATTATCAAGCACATATATTAAAATATTGTGTTAGACCAAAATACAGATTCTGTGATGAATATCAAGAAACGATTGATCATCTTGTATCAGGTTGTACGATATTGGCACCCACTGAATATAAAACCCGGCATGACAGAGTGAGCCAATATCTGCACTGGAAAATCTGCAACTTCTACGGGAAGGAAATTGAAAGAAATTGGTATGAACACCACCCAGACGCGGTTACGGAGATAGGGCCTGTTACAATTCTATGTAACTGCACAATACACATTGACAGATCAATCAAAGCTAACCGCCCAGACATTGTTATTAGAGACCGTAAACAAAAAAATACATCCTTATTGATATGGCAGTCCCTGCAGATTGCAATGTATCTTTGAAGATCTTCAAAAAGATATCAAAATACAAGGACCTTGAAATAGAAATCAGAAAAATCACATGGAAACATCAACAATCCCTGTTGTAGTTGGAGCCCTCGGATTGGTTGGAAAAGATTCCAGTAGACGCATTGTAGGGATCCCTGGAAGTCCATGCCTTAAAGAAATACAGAAAATTGTTTTCACGAGTACAGCCCGCACCTTACGAAGGGCTTTACCTATGTAAAATATGTTTGTGTTTTTTTTTTAATTGGTCAGTGGAAAATGTCATGATGCCATTTCTAACCTTAGGTCTTTGGGCGGGACGAGGAAAGAAATGAGTACACACCAGAAATCAAAGGAAATAATAATAATAATAATAATAATAATAATTGTTGGGGCGCACCCACCTTCTAACTAGAAATGGACTGGTCCCTCTTATATAAGTCAGCTCTAGAGAGAGACAGAGAGAGTGAGAGAGAGAGCGTCAGCGACAGCAGTCCAGATAACGTTACCCGTTACATACCGTTGGACTATAGACTTTGGATATTGTTTCGTACTAACCAACCTTCGTTCTACTAATCACTCTATTGTTAATTGCTTTATTGAATATACCAGTATTTTCCTCTACAACTGTGTTTGTCTTGATTCATACACCGTCACGCGGGAAACTCACAACATCTCAGCAATAATAATAATAATAATAAAGAAAAAAATCCTTAAATATTTATTTCAATTATGCTTTATTTCGTGAATACCAAAATATTCATCTCTTCAAATCGAAATCTCTTAGTAAATGGAGACTATACACCGGACGGATATATTAGATCATATGGGGAAGGAAAAACAAGAGAGAAGATATGAGAGAAGTGGGGGGGGGAGTTGAGAAGTGACGGATGGACAGGTTCTTTTAAAAAGATGAGATAGAAGGAGGTTATGGAAAAGAAAGTCAAGAAGGCAGTAAGACTTAACAGATTAACCCGTCCAAGAATTTTTTCCTTAAAGTTTGGAACTTTGTACTTCGGTTTATACAGCAAATCGACCGCCATGGCCCGTTATTTTAGGCAAGATAAATCAACCCAATTCCAAAGTAGTTAGTCTAATAAAAGGGTCCATAATAAAAATAATAAATAAAAATTACAATAATTATATTAATATCAAACATAACTGAAGGGATTTTAAATACAGCTAAATAAAACAAATAAATTTAGAAAAGTAAAAATAAAATTGAATTAAAAAATGAGTAAGATGATGTATGGATGATGATACAAAACATGTTATTTTAAAATATCAGTGGGTATACATCGGCAAGTCAGTCATAGATCCAACTACATATGAAGAAACACGCAAAAAACACAAAATTGTGTGATACGTAATATGAACACACATTCGCATCTACGCATATACATACATACATACATACATACATATACATGAATATACACCCATATGTGCTATTACACATATAAACGAAC